CAGCCTCTGGTTCAGGACCAGACTTCTCCCAGGACCACAGGCAACCTCAAAGCAAATAGCTTGCTTCCCCATAGTATGAAGAAAGGTGAATAAAAGATTCCACCAATCCATGGGATAAACGAGGACCAGGCTGGGGGAACGGCAGGGTCTTCTTGTCCCGTACCTCCGCACAGCCCCTGAGGGCGTTTAAGCGTGTGACATGAGGCCACCAGGGGGCGCCATGAGCCTGATTGGGCGGGGGGCCAGATATTGGGGGAACAGGGGGCTGAGCCCCTGCCTGGTATTCACCAACCTGTGGGACACCCAGGAGCTGCCTCCCCCTGGCCTATCCCCAGGAGCAGACCAGGGTCTCCTCCTCCCCTTTGCCTCAGCCATTCTGCAGGCCTGAAGCCAAACCTGCCAGGGGGGGACCCAGCTCCAGATGTGGGTCCCTAAGAGGTGATACTCAGGGATGCCTACTGGATGCACGGGTGTGACCAGATCTTCACAATCTGTGTCTGTAATTAACGGAAAAGCAGACCATGACTAAGAAAGGCTAGAGAAGGCTTGAACAAGAGAGCTGACAACCTCAGCCATCCACGGGGCAGAGTGTGCTCCAAGTGCAGAACACGTTCTTTTCAAGCACACATGGGACAAGAAGCACACACGTGCTGGGCCAGAAAGTACTGGCAGATATCAAAGTCTTGAGGTGCAGATTATGTTCTTGGAGAGCCATGCAATTATGCTAGAGACTAATGGTGACAACGTAACCAGAAAACCAGCTCGTGGTGCCATTTCTCTTCCCTGCCATTTACCCTTCGGGCCTGAACTCCCACCAGCAAGAATATGCTTCCCACCCATGTAAGTGGGACTTTGGGCTCTGCTCATGTATGCTTGGGGCTGCCCCACTATAAGCACACCAGGAGGAGCTCCAAGGGTGGGAACGCTGGGTAGCGGTGGGGATCTCTGTGCTCTCCAGGGGTCGCCCTGCCCAGTCCCCCTCCGATGCAGGGCAATGGTGCCCTGGCTCTGGGACTTGCCTCACCCTCCGCAGTTGCCAGGGGTCTCTGTCTCCTCACTAGAAGCACGGGAAAGGGCTCCAGCACGTGCAGGCTCAGAGGAGTAGGAACCGGGATGACGGGGTGCTCAAGGGCCTGAGTAGTGAACAATGCCAAGAGAAGCTGAGGTTCTGAGTCCAGGGTCCATGAGACGGGGCAGAGTGAGGACCAGAGTTGAGTGACACCGGTGGACTTTACCTGGATTCTCATTGAATGCCACTGTGGGGACCACAAGGTCTGAGTGTCAGCAACCCAAGAGAGGTCTGACTTGGGGAATGGGATCGTGGCCTGTAGCTGGACTGTAAACTAGTCCCACTGCTCCAGAGAGAGGGCTGCAGCGCACAGGAAACCCTACCATAGACGCCCTGTGTCCCCCAGTTCCAGGGACATAGGCAGCCTGTGGTCCCCCAGTTCCAGGAACATAGACACCCTGTGTCCCCCAGTTCCAGGTCAGTATGTGCCCTTCAGAAGTGCTGATGTGTGCACTGGGGACACCCAGAGGTTCCTTGGGCCATGTTTGTGAAAGAAAAACTAGAACTGCCCCAAACTCCACACCCTGAGGCGGCCAGTACCATGCTATTACCACACAGCCGTCTAGCTCTCTGTAGTTGATGTGGTTGCATCAGATATATCATAGAGATGTATTTATAGGAAGTTAGAAGGAGCACCGCTATTGGCATGATGTCTTTCAGGTACATTTGAAAACTAGGAACAAAATGTAAGGCCCCAGAGACCTGCCGGCTCCCTCTCCTGCCAAGTTCTCTTCCTCGGTTCTGGCCACACTGGCCTTGCTGTTTCTGTAGCCTGTCAGGCACGTTCCACCGCAGGGCCTTTGCACTAGCTGTCCCTGCCGCCAGGAGCACTCCTCCCTAGGCAACTCCTCAGTTAGTCCCCTAGCTTTATTCAGGGATGGCCTCTCCTGACCATCTATCTAAACTAACAGTTGTCACTCTCTCCCCTCTTAACCCTTCCCCCAACTAAATAATGCATCACACCGTGTATTGTCCCATAACATCTTGTTTGTTCTGGCCTGTGTCACCCACTGGAACTTTGCCCCTGGACTTTGTTTCTGAGGCCACGGCCATGTCCCCAGGGCTAAAGCAGTGATGGCCTTTGGAGCTGATGAGTGGCCAAGTGTGGAATGAGTGGAATTGTTTTTTCTGGGGAAAGAGGGAGCTCATGGGACTGGGGTGGGGCAGGGGGCAGGGGAGTCAGTGCAGCATGACCAGTTGTTTATGTTCTCTACTAAAATCATCTGAGCTAGTTGACCCCAGGTCAGCATTTGTTGCTTCTGCATTTATATCAGTGTTTTTGGCATTTTGGTGTTTTCGAAAAGCCTGTCCCCTCCCCTGTTGACACCCTCCCACCCAGCATGGAGGAGCCCTGTCTGTCTAAGGGATTTTGTGCTCTACAAATTCCTCACCCCCACAGTGCCCTCTTCCCTCCTGTGGGGCTGTGCACCCTCTGTGTGGGGGAAGCTCCTGCCCCAGCCCCTCTCCTGGGAGAGGGTCCAGCCTCTGGGCTCTGGCAGGGCCATGGGAGCTGGAATCTGAGCGCTCAGGCAAGCGGGAGGGGGAAGAGCTCTGGCCCTGGAGTTGGGGACCAGGACTCCACCACCTACCTCCTGTGTGACCTTGGCCGGGTCACATCCCTCCCTGTGAAAAGAGAATAATCTTCAGACTTGTGCGACCTGGATTTCTGATGGACACTCCTGGATTATTACTGAAATGATTGCTACCTTTTAGAGAAATGACAACAGAAGCCACTAGAGGGCACTGTCACCTCAGGTGTGCACCTGTGTGAGTGACTGAGTTGTGTTCATGTGCAAATGTGTGAGTGAATTGTGTGAGTGTGTATGTGTGAGTGTCCATCACTGTATAGGGACACTTGGGATATGCTGACTAGGAATGCAGCTGAGACACCTTTGTGTAGCCCTTGGTGGACAGTACAGTGAGGGGGGTGACATCCCTATGTAGGTGACACTGCTACACAATTCCGAGTCTTGGGGTGCAGGTCACGGGGCTGATGCCGCAACAAAAGGGGGCCCCCTCAAAGCCAAGGTCATAGGAACATCGTGTGGGGAGCGCACTGGGCCTTGAATCTGGAGGCTGGGCTCAAGGTGTGACCATGTGGCCTCTGTGGGCCTCAGTTTCCCCTGTATAAGCTGAGTGGGTGGTGCCCACTCACTATTGCCCCTTCTGGGTTCCCTAGTGACCCTCCCCAAGCCTACCTTTGGCTTCTGGGGCAGCCGGGTTGGGCAGCCGGGACCCCTAATGAGTCTGACACCTAGGCTCTGAGGCCAGACTGAGGGGGGGCGGGGGCGGCACCAAGTTCTGGTGCTGGAGTTGCTGGGGCTGGAGGTCTCCTGTCCAACCCCCACATCAAGGACAGCTGTGGCAGGAAGGCCAGACTGGGGGTCTCTGTTCTCAGAAACTGAGAGGCCATGTGTCACCTGGGGCAGGGGAGACAAATTCCCTCCCTCCCTGGGCCTGAACTGGGGGAACCACCAACAGGGCCTCTCGCACCCTCCCACAGCCCACTCAAGCAGACCCCACTTCTTTCTTCTGTTTTTCTTTAGTTAATCCTCACTGGAGGATGTTTTTTAGAAAGAGTGGGAGGGAAGGAGGGAGAGAGAGAGAGAGAAACATTGATGTGAGAGAGACACATCGATTGGTTGCCTCCTGCATGTGCTCCAACAAGGGCCGGGGCTCCAACCTGCAACCCAGGTACGTGTTCCTGACCAAGACTTGAACCTGGGACCCTTCAGTGCATGGGCTGATGCTCTAACCACTGAGCACACTGGCCAGGGCAACTCATCCCCACTTTTTCATCCCCACTTTTAAAAAAAAATATGTTTTTACTGATTTCAGAGAGAGGAAGGGAGAGGGAGAGAGAGGGAGAAACATCAATCAGGTGCCTCCTGCACACTGCCTACTGGGGATGGAGCCCACAACCCGGGCATGTGCCCCGATGGGAACCAAACCATGCCCTCCTGGTTCATGGAATGATGCCACACCGGCTGGGCTCATCCCCACTTTTAATTGTGGTACAAGATGCCTGAGACACCAATTTCCCTCCAACAAAGGCTTTGTTTAATCTCAGAAAAATTATGAGGCGCCTATTTCCCTCCTTGCGCTGGTTCCTGGGGAGCTCAGAGCTTATCTGTGCCAAGTGCCTGGGCCTCTGCGCAGGCGTGTTGTGCGACAGTTCCCTTCCTGCTTCCCTCCTCGGCCTTTACACCTCCGAACCTGACATTGGGTGAGGAATCAAGGTGGGCCCCAGTTTTAAGGGCCTTTAAAATGGATTCTGCCCTGGCTGGCAGGCTTAGTGGTTAGAGCATCAACCGGAGCACCAAAGGGCCGTGGGTTTGATTCCCAGTCAAAGGCACGTGCCTGGGTTGCAGGTTTGATCCCCGGCCCTGATGGGGCACGTCCGGGAGGCAGCCAATAGATGTGTCTCTCTCACATCAATTTTCTCTCTCTTTCCCTCCCTTCCACTCTCTCTAAAAATCAATGGGAAAAATATCCTCAGGTGGGGATTAACAAAAAAACACCTGATTCTGCTGGAGTGTCCTGGACCCCGTGGGTGGTCCAGCCTGATGGAGTGACAGGGAGGGGGCGAGGCTGGGCAGGAGCTGAGCTGCGCACAGAGAGAGCAGGGCATCCCAGAGGGCAAGGGCCAGGAAAAGAGGGTGTCCCCACCAGCTTATCTGGAGGTCACCCGCCATGGCCAGCTCTCACCAGGACGGAGGGACAACAGACTGGGGGAGGAGCTGGGGGAAGGAGAGGGCAGAGGGACTGAATGGTGACCCGACTCCTTGTGTCCTGGCCAGGTTCCTGGGAGGTACCAAGGATTCTCCCCTTGCTGGGCACCAAGGATCCTCCCACCCTGAGAGTCGGGGGAGGTCACAAATTAAATATGAAACAGAAAAAAAAAATGAGCAGAGAGCATGATTTCTGATTGGCAAGAAGAACATTTTGAGAATTGATTGGGTGCAGGGAGCAGGGCTGGGAATGACTAAGGTGGGAGGGGAGAACCTCCCAGAGGTTCTGAGGCTCCAGCCCCCGAGAGTAGGGGGCTCAAGGTCCTAGGAACACTCTGAGGGGACCATTGTCTTCTCCACAGTGCTCCCCTCATGCGTCACCTGGCAGCTAAAGCTGCTGCCAAATTTCCACTTGTTGGGTGTCAGGCTCAGGTAGCTGCTGGCTGTGTACTTGTTGTTGCTCTGCTTTGTGGGCTTGGCGGTCTCCACACCCTGGGTGACAGGGTTGCCATTTGCCTTCCAAGCCACCGTCACATTGCCAGGGTAGAAGCCACTGATGAGACACACCAGTGTGGCCTTGTTGGTGCTGAGCTCCTCACTGGATGGAGGGAACAGAGTGACCAAGGGTGCGGACTTGGGCTGACCTGTGAGGACAGAGAAGGGGTGTGAGATGCAGAGGAGAGTCCAGGTATTGGTGCAGCGCCCCCACTAATCTACAGCCTCTGTGACCCGTCCCATGGTGTTTGTGTTTGTTTGCCCAGGGGAGCCTCCTTCCTTCTATGTTCACTCTTTCTACTCAGTCCCTGGACAGCAGACAGTCCCCACCCCACCAGAAGCCCTTCCAAGTCACCTCTCCCAGGTGACCTGGTCAAGCCCCTCTATCTGTAGCCTCAGTTCCTGAGTGTAACCAGGGCCTCCCACCTCCTGGTCTCCTGACTCTGAGTTTTGAGTCTGGCCCTCACCTCCCAGGCCCTCGGCCCCATCTCACTTCATTCTTCAGGAGCCCGGTGCCTCCTCTGTGATCTGGGCTCCCCCACCTGGCCTGATGGTGTGTGGGGAGGCCTCAAGCCTGAGCCCAGCACACAGTGGGGCGTGGAGCCCCCTGTTGCCCTTGGGCACCGAGCTTGGCCCCAGCCCGGCCTCAGCTCTCCTATGAGGGTCAGGGCCAAAGCCTGGGGGCTCCTCAAGGCTCTGCCTGCCTCTCCACGCCTCATGGCCTGACCACAGGACCCTTCGTTTTGGCTGCATTTTTGGTGCTGCTCACCCAGATGATAGGCACAGCGGCCCCACTGCCACCCCAGCACCTCTGACAACTCCTGACTGCATGGGGCAGCTGTGTAGCTCTGAGCCCCCCATTCACTCCCCACTTTGTCATCTCCTGAGTCTAATGCACCCTTGAGAAGGTGGGTGGCCGACCCTTGGACTGAGGTTATGGGGCTCCAGGAACAGATGAGTCTGTGCCCCACAGGACCTGCTTCTTTCCGACCACCATTCTGGGAGGCCTGGGCTTCTGGCCACCTTACCCTGTCGCACCTGTGTCTTTGCCTCCCCATGTCCTCATGGCCCAGCGGAGCCCCCGAGAGCTTCAGCTAAGAGCGAGCAGGACTCCTCTCTCTGCCCTCCTTGGGCTTCCCCTCAGGCTGACCCTGTGTCCCTGGAGGTTGGGGTCACAGCCCCAGCCCTGTCCCCAGCCTCCTGTATGGCTCTCCCACTTTAGATGGGCATCAAGCCCTCAGCCCAGACCCCAGGGCCTCCAGTCTGTCTCCAAGGCCAGAGACAGTCAGAAACCAGCTTCTGGTCCCCTTGTGGGCATCTGTCCTAGAAGAGAGAAAGGAGCCCAGTTCCTGGGCCAAACCCCAGCCCAGGTCCCCAGGACCCAACTGCATCAAACTGTCAGACTCTGGAGGTGGCTACTCCTGCTGTTGGGTCCTTCCTGCTGGTTACCCCAAGACCAACCCACTTCCCCCAGAACTTATGGAGAAAGGTGGGGGGCCGAGGGGAGTGAGGAGGGGAAGCAGCTCACACAGAGAGAAGAGTGACTTTCCCAAGACAGTAGAGGGGTGGGACACAATGGAGAAGGTGGTGGGAGCCACTTACCTAGGACAATGAGCTGGGTCCCGCTGCTGAACACATACCACGGTTGCTGAAGATCGAACCAAAACATGCTGGGCCAGCACCTGGGGCGTGTCCCCTGGGGGCCAGTGCTGAGCAGGAACCTGCTGGGAACGATGGGGACAGGGCTGCAGCAGGCAGCGCTGTGTCCCGGGGTGGGGCGGATGGACAGCCAGGCCCTGGGACACCTGGGTGTCCTGGTGCCTTCCCCCTTTTTAAGGCAGGTACTAGCTATACTTTGGAATCACCTGGTGTGTGGCCCCCAAGGCTGCCCTGGCCACCACCGAATCCTTTGTGCTGATGGAGACACTGAGGACAGTGTCCCCTCAGGCAGCTGTGTGGTATGGCAGAACGAGCCCTGAACTCGCCTGTCCTGCTTCACCTCTCCTAGCCTCATTTTAGGGCCTCTGAGGGTTCCTTCCCCACAGTTTCCCACTGTCCAGCCTGGTGGGCTTCCTCCTTGGGCCCATGGACACCGCGTCATTCATGACTCATGATGCTCCAGTGTGGAGAACCCGTCCCCCTTTGTCGCCACACATCAAGACATAATTCAGTTCTTTATGAAGCCTTCTCTGATCTCTTAGACCACTGTCTTTCTGTCCATTTATCCATTCAGGCTTCCATCCACCCATCCATCATCCATCCATCCATTTAACAATGGCCCCAAGCACTTGTCTGCCAGTAACTGTTTCATGTGCTGAGACATGGTAGGGCTTTCAGTTCTCATCTCCATTCCTCCCTAAAACCTCTCAGTGAAAGCCAACAAGTCCCTCTTCTCTGTCAAATCAAAGAGGACCTAATGAAAGGGGAGGACGTTCCAGTTCATGGATAGAAAAGCTCGATATCGTCAAGAAGTCAGTTCTTCCCAACTTGATCTATAGATTCGTTGCAACCCCAATCAAATTCCCAGCAAGATAGTTTGTGGATATTGACAAACTGTTTCTAAAGTTTATATAAAAGGGAAGAGACTATATAAACCCACAGCATGGGAGAAAATATTTGCAAATCACACATGGGATAAGGGGTGATACTGAGAATACATAGGGAACTTCTAAAACTCAGCAACAACAAAAAACCAAACAACCCAATTCAAAGGCGCCCTGGCTGGTGTGGCTCGGTTGGTTGGGCGTCATCCTGGCACCAAAAGGCTGCCTGTTCGATTCCCAGTCAGGGCACATGCCCGGGTTGCGGGCTAGACCCACGGTAGGGGGCATGCAGGAGGCAGCCTGTTGATGTTCTCTCTCTCTCTCCCTCTCCCTTCTTTCTCTCTAAAAATCAATAAATTATTTTTTTAAAAAAGGAAAGAAATCAAAGGCATCTAGGTTGGAAAGAAAGAAGTTAAAATATCTCTGTTTGCAGATGACATGATCTTACATGTAGAAAATCCTAAAGAATCTGCAAAAAAGTCTCTAGAACAAATAAATTCAGCCATTCCACGATCAACACACATTCATGTTTCTATACACTAAAAAATCAAAATCAGTTTTATTTCCATACACTAACAAAGAACAATTACAAAAAGAAATTAAGAAACCAATCTCCCCTACAAGAACATAAAAAATAAAATAAAATACTTAGGAATAAATTTAACCAATAAAGTGAAAGGCTTGTACACTGAAAACTGCAAAATGTTGTTGAAAGAAATTAAAGAAGGACTGAAGTGGAAAGACATCCCATGTTCATGGTTTGAAAGACTTAACAGCATTGCTGAGATGGTAAATATGACCCAAAGAGACCTATAGATTCAATGTAATTCCTATCAAAATCTCAATGGCCAGCCATTGTTAAGAGATGGGAAAACTGGACTCCAATAATTGCAAAATTGCAAAGGACTCCAACAGGCAAAACAATCTTGAAAAAAGGGGACAAAATTAAAGGACTCATACTTCACAATATCTTTTATTTTACGTTTAAAAGAGGAAGTGGGAGAGAGAGAGAAGGAAAAAGACATTGATCAGCTGCCTCCGGTATAAAGCTGACCCTGATGGGGGCTCATCCCTCCTTGTGCTTTTCTGAGTCCTGCCCTTGCTCAGCAGTCCCTGTAGGACATTGAGATGCCAGTTCTGGCCTGACACCCTCCATGCTGGACTGCTGGTGCAGCAGAGGATCAGCTCACCCCGTTCTAGCCTTTCATCACAGCGGCCCCAGCATCCCTGGGGTGGGTGTAGGCTGCAATCCCTCATCCAATTAGGACCCCTCCCTTTGCAGAGGGGGAAACTGAGGCCTGGAGAAGTGAACTTGTCTGTCCAGTTTTAGGGGCAGGAGAGGGGGATGCCTGGAGGCCATTGAACTTGGGCACTGGAGTCTGCACCACCTGTGTGACTTTGGGCAGGTTGCCTCACCTCTCTGAGCTTCTATTCCCATTTTTAAATTGGGGATGACAGCAGGTCCTGCCCTGTGGGGCCATTTGAGGGGGGGGTTCTGCCCCTAAAATGATTATTGCCCACAATGAATGTACTATTATGTCACTGATTATCTTAAGAGGTCCCAGATGCTCAGCACTTTGTCCAGGGACTTCCTATCACCTACAGAGGAGGGCCTGGGGTCACACATCAAGGTGGGACAGACCATGGCCCTCAAAAACACTCACCCAGGGCCTTTCCCATGGAGGTGTCTGTATCCTGGGTGGGCTCAGATCCCTAGGGGTCCAGTCCCAGGAGGCCCTGGCTCAGGGTCTGGTGCCCCCACCTCAAGGCATCAGCCAGAACCTGCACCCTGGTACTCCAGGGAGTGGTGCCTGCTCAGCCAGGGGAAGAGAGAGGACTTGGCTCATCAGCTAAGAGAAGGAGGACCAGGCATGTTGGGACAACAGCAACTGCCACCCACAGGGACATCCTGCCCCTGCCTCCATCTCTGCCCCATCTGGAAGACAGGGTGAAGACTAGTCTTGGGTGCAAAATTGAAGGGGTCAGAGCTGCCGTTTGACCCAGTGATTCCACTCCTAGGAATGTATCCTAAGAATCCTGAAACATTCATCAGAAAGGATATATGTACCCCGATGTTCATAGCAGCACAGTTTACAATAGCTAAGATCTGGAACAGCCCAAGTGCCCATCAGTAGCTGAGTGGATAAAAAAGCTGTGGGACATTTACACCATGGAATACTACGCAGCTGTAAAGAAGAAGAATCTCATACCCTTTGGGACAGTATGGATGGACCTGGAGAATATTATGCTAAGTGAAATAAGCCAGGCAGCGAAAGACTAATATCACATGATCTCTCTTATACGTGGAATCTAAAGAAGTTAATAAACTGATGAACAGAATAGATTGAATGACATGGAAGCATAGATGAGACTGATGAATGTCAGAGGGATGGAGGAGGGTGGGTGGGTGGAGGGGGAGAGAGTAACCAAAGAATTTATGTGCATATATGCACAACCCAGGGACATGGACAATGGTGAGGAGAGGGACTGGGGAGGGGGAAGGAACGGCATGGAACGGGTCATTGGGGAGAAAAAAGGACATCTGTAATATTTTAAACAATAATAAAATTAAAAAAAAATTTTTAAGGGGTGCCAAAAACTCAGTAATTAAGATAAACAATATTTTAATACATATTAAAAAGGGGAAATCAATGCAAACAAATCCACACTGGACAAAAATGTCAGCTCTTTAAATAAAGCCAGCACCTGCCCAGGCCCCTGCTCTCCCATGAGCCCTCCCGTCTCTCCTTTTACCCCTCACTGTCACTCTCTATCCTTCACTCCCAGTTTGGGCTGCAGGAACCCTCATGTTGGCCACATGACTCATTCAGCCCCTTACCTTTCCCAGAGGCTCCAAGGGCTATTTCTTGTCTGGGCTCCAGAGCTTGGAGCCCTGCTCCGAGGTGCTGTCGTAGAGGACAACAGGCCATGGGTGCCCACAGCCAGGCCCAGCAGCATCAGGGGCCAGCACTGCCTGAGGCCAGGGCTCTGCCTCCTGCGGGCCTCATGGCCCACCTGTCCTATTCTGGGCCTCATCTGCGCTCAGGGTCAAAGGCACCTCTGGCTGACCTGCTGGCGTACGCTTCCAAGGGGGGAGGTCAGGTTGGCAGGTGGCCCTGGTCCCTCTCTCTAGCAGTGACTGTCCCAGTGCACTCGGGCCATGGCCCTGTGATCTGCCTGGGCCTTCTCTGTTTCCTGTCCCCAGTGCCCCACCCTCTCCAGGCCGTTACTCCTGGGGGTCTCTCCCAGTGGGGCATCTGCCAACTGCCATGCTGTGGTTAGGATCCAGGGTTCAACTGCCCCCCGCCACAGCTGCCGGCCTGGCCCTGCCCCTGGGGCCTTGTGGGGGCACACCTGCTCCTGACAAGTGTCCAGTGGACCAGAAGTCACCTGAGTTCAGGCCGGAGCTGGGGCTGGGGCTTCTCTTCTGACCAGACCTGGGGCAGTAGTGATGACAGGGGAGGAAACAGGTGGTTTAGCAAGAAGCTGAAGTTCAAGTGGGGGAATTGTGATATAATTATAAAAATGGTGTTCAGTGTGCCAGGTCCAGCACCTCCTGGGTCTCCCCCCAACACACACACACACTCACACCCTCATAGATTTTATCCAGAGGTCACCATCACAAGCCCGGCGTCTGGCACACAGTGGTGGCTTCTGCAAGGCCCCTTTTACCTCTCCCCCAGGCCTGGTGACTGATGAAGAACTGATACGACTATTTCGTTGAGTACCCACTACAGTTAAGTCCAGGTAAGCACTTTATATAAGTTAATGGGTGCTATTATTATGTTCTTTACATACAACATTGGAAATGTTGGCCTAGAGTTCAGCTGAGCCTTCCAAGGCTGACCAGAGCTAAGACTCACACACTGACTGGCCTGAGGCCCGAGGCCCGAAGCCCGAGGCCAGGGTCTCACCCTCCAGGAACCTGGAGGGGCAGGAGGATTAGGATGATGGAAGAGCCCAGCCTGGCTCCCACTGCCTGGTTTATTGTTGTAGCTCAGACTCCCGGAATTAGGAAGGATGGAAGCAGAAAGGCAGGTTATAGGCAGAAGACAGAGTTCCCTTGGGACCATCTAGCTGGGCTTAAAAACATGAGCCTGGCCCTGGCCAGGCGGCTCAGTTGGTTGGAGAGTCTTTCCGTACACCAAAAGGGAATATACCTAGGTTGAGGGTTCAATCCCCAGTCGGAGCATGTACGGGAGGCAACCAATCAATGTTTCTCTCTCTCCCCCTCCCTCTCTCTAAAAATCGATAAAAACATATCCTTGGGTGAGGATTTTTTAAAAAGCAAACAGGAGCCTGGTTGCTCTCCATTCCTCTCCCCACCCCCTTCTTTTCCCAGGGTGCACTCTCTCTCTCTCTCTCTCTCTCTCTCTCTCTCTCTCTCTCTCTCTCTGTCTCTCCTAAGCTCCAAGGGTCCTTCTTTTGCTGTAACTTGATGTTTCCTGAGCCCATTACTTCTATGGCTCATTTCTATCTCTGTGACTTTCTAAATAAACTTTCTCTTATAAAAACAAAACATGAGCCTGGAGTGTCCTTTTCAGGGGCAAGGCCTGATGCAGAAAGAACTCTGTGCGTTTGAGAGCTCAAAGGGTACCTGAAACATGTCATGAGCTGAGACCATTATTTTATGAAAGAGACTCAGGCACATATGTCTGCCTTTCTGGGGGAACCCCCTGGGTCTTTTTAGCCATGATAAATGGATGTTCTCAGCCAAGTTTGGGGCCCAGGGGAGATGGTTTGCCTGTCACCTTTCTGTACATAGTGTATGACCCAACAGGGGCTCAGGGTGCTGTGCTGTGGGCCGGGGTTGCAGAAACTGACCTATTCCCTCTTCACTCAAGAAAATAATTGGGGAGGCCATGCATCTCTTGCCTCTAGGTCTTTCCGTGGATCCAGAGGTTTAGTATGTCTGGGACCATCGGGCAGGAGGATTTGAGGGTGACCTTGATCACCACACCAAGCATACATAGCTTGGTTGAAACCTAGAGGCAGGCCCTGGTTGGGTTTGCTCAGTGGTTAGAGCATTGGTCCGCGGACTGAAGGGTCACAGGTCCAATTCTAGTCAAGGGCAGGTACCTCATACCTCGGTTGCAGGCTCCATCCCTGGCCCTGGTCGGGGTGCGTGCAGGAGGCAACCAATTGATATGTCTCTCTTATATCGATGTTTCCCTCTCTCCTTCTCTCTCTCCCTTCCACTCTTTCTGAAAAGCAATGGAAAAAATATTCTCGGGTAAGGATTAAAAAATAAAAAAGAAAGAAAGAAACCTGGAGGCAGGAACTGGGGTGCTTCTCTGGAGCAGAGGTCGGCAAACTGTGGCCCAAGTGCCATATGCCTCCCAGCCCCACCTGTTTCTATGGACGGAGTTGAATAGGACCGGCCATGAGCATTTGCTCACGTATTGCCTGTGGCTGCTTTCCTGCTGTAAAGACAGAATTCAGTAGCTGAGAGAATGATTATATGGCTTCGAAAGCCAGAATTATTTACCATCTGGCCCTTTACAGAAAATATAATTGGTAGCTTTGCTGTACTCCTTACAGAAGAGTAAATGCATTTCTCTCAACTAGGCCAGTGGTTCTCAACTGGGGCGATTTGGCCACTTTGGAGACATCTGGCAACACCGGGAGACATTTTCATTGTCATAGCTAGGGGTGGGAAAGTGCAGGTACTGGCATCTAGTGGGCAGAGGCCAGGGCTGCTGCTCAACATCCTACTGCACAGGACAGCCCCCAACAAAGAACTGTCTGGCCCCAAATGTCAACAGTACTGCGGTGGAGCACCTACCCTAGACCTATCACTTGGCACCCACTCTCCTCCCCAGAGGCCCAATAAAGGCATTTCTAAGCTTGTTTACCCTATAACTTCTGCGAATAACCATGTGACAGCAGAGGGTCCTGTCCTTGGCCACAGTGTCCCCCCAAGGTGCTTATGTCAGCCCCCTTCCCCCATAACCCACAAGAGCAGAAGCTCCAGCCAAGCAGACCAGGTCTGGTCAGTCTCCTGGGACCTTCGCTTTAGGTTGGTTCTTGGGTGCATCCTACCCGTTTTGACCTTACACGGAACAGCTGGGGCCTCCTTAGTATAACTCAGCACACCAGTCAGACCAAACAACTTCCCAAGACACAGTACTTTAATCCCCCAATCCAGCCCCCAACAGGGCCTAGCTAGACAAGGAGCGTCTCCTTCGCTCTGCACAACCCACAACCCACCCTCCTCCTCGCCCTCTCCGTGGGGATGCGCACTCCTCTCTCCTTAGTTCACAGTAAGTGCGTCCTGGGGTGCCCGGGACACTGAAGCAGCAGGCCCCTCCCTCCCATCTCCATCTTTTTCTTCCTCCGTCTCCACCTCCATCTTCTCCCTCTCCGAGCTCTGGTTGCCCACAGCACAGTAATACACAGCCTCATCCTCAGGCTGCAGCTCAGAGATGCTCAAATACCCTGTGTTCTTGGCCACATCTTTAGATCCGGAGAAGCGTGGGGGGACCTTGGGGCCGTGTTTCTTGTCTGAATGGGAGAAATATCTCAGCAAGAATCTTGGAGGGTGGCCGAGCTTTTGCTGGTACCAGAAGATGCTATAAATGCTGACATTATGGTCGCTGCTCAAGGTGCAGGCCAGACGGACTGTGGTTCCAAGGAACGAAGACACAGAAGGTGGCTGCTCCAGCACTGGCTGAGGGCCACAACCTGGGGACACAGAAGAATATGGACCTCAGGGCAGGACAGGGCAAGGGAAAGGGCCAGTGGCTGAGAGCTCTGGGGTGTTCTCACCTGTGCAGTGGGCGAGGAGCGCCAGCAGGACAGGAGCCCAGGACATGGTGCAGATGTGCAGAGCTCTGCCTCCAGGATTGTGCAGCCACAGCTCCTGGGGCTCTCTGGGGTCTGGGCAGCAACCTCCTCCACCCTCTCAGGGGTGGGGCCATTGCACACCCAATTCCAGCCACCACTATCCCAAACTTTATTGGGTTTGCAGCATCAGTTAGGGGAATGGTCCCATGGTGGCCTTTGCGGCTCTTGCCTTGGCCCCATAGAAGCGTTAGGGAGGAAACACCTGCTGGAAGCTCACAATCCAGTGCTCAGGAGGCCAGCCTGCAAGCTTGGGTCCCTGAGGGAGAGTGACCTCAACATCCCCCTGAGGAAACTGAGCTACACAGAAATAAGATTCTTGTCCAAATTTTTATGCCTGGTGAACCAGGAAGAGAGGACACATCCTGAGAGTGATGAAACACCTGCTTTGAGCAACAAAAAATGTTGGGGCCTGGAGGTCAGTGGGACACTGTTCCCTTCCACACTCCTAGCACACCTGACCTCCAAACCCAGAGCAGCCCCTCTGGTTTTGGCTCTCTGCCAACTGATCGCACCTCTCAGGTCCAACCTAACCCTGGTCACTACAACTGGAGAACAGACCCTAGGGTGGCAGGGTGGAGACCAGGGGGAGATGGGGCTTGGCTCAGTGTGGTGGCAGCCAAGGCTGGGAGAACTGATTGGGTCTCAAACATATTTTGAAGACAGTGATGGCTAATGAGTGAGAAAAAGAGAAGAATCCAGAATGCTTTCAAGGCATAGGTTTTGAGCAACCAGGAAGATGGAGTTGCCATTTTGAAGATGGAGAGCCTGGCAAGGAGTGGGTTCTGAATCAGAAGTTCTGTTTTGAAAGGGAAATCTCATTGTGACTCTTAATTTTTGCCATTTCCCAACCTTAGTTTGGCTATAGAACTTTTTCAGAGCATCTATCAGGGCTAGTATTCCAATAAAAGCAAGATGGGAAAATTGACTACAGGGCCCAAAGGAAATGTATGTATCCTATTATTTAAAATATATTAAGCTGGGTTGGCGTGGCTCAGCAGTTGAGCACTGACCTAGGATCCAGGAGGTCAAGGTTTGATTCCCTGTCAGGGCACATGCCAGAGTTTGTGGGCTCAATCCCCAGTAGGAGGCTTGTGGGAGGCAGCCGATCAATGACTCTTCTCTCTCTCTCCCTCTCCCTTCCTCTCTCTGAAATCAATAAATATTTAAAATAAAATATATTAAAGTATGGT